CAATGTCGCAGAGGTAGATTACCGCGAAGTCTGATCGCAGGTGTCAGTACCATCGCCTGTGGCTGAGAGAAGAGAACATTCAAGACTGAACTTACTCTTCACACGCTCAGCGATCTTGAAGAGCACTTCATCTTGGCGCATGCCTGTCCGATATCAGTATTGTCTATCGGAAAAGAGAGAGGGGCAGTAAGCCTACAATCAACGTCATGATCCCGACCAAATCTGATAACCTACGTTCCAATGGCCGAGGTCAGTCAATTAGTCAAGGAACCGAACGAAATCTGCTCACATACCACAAGTCTGTCCTCCTCCGAGAGGATAGCCTGATCAACGTGCCAGGCAGAGCGCAGATGTGGCAAGACAACGGAACCCATGTTGTGATGCTACTAAAGAGGATAGTATTGCAGATGGCTGCAGTTGTAGATGATTTCCCAACCTTACTGTCACGTGCGATACAGACAGTCGAGCCGTTTTGCAATGAAAACTTGTGCTTGGATGCTCCTTAATACGCTACAAGAAACTAGCAGATAAGCTTCTAGAATTTTCGCGCAGATTTAACTTCTCATTTCTTTCTTTAAGACCACATGTTGTGATATCATAAGAATAAGGTACATGCCAGCCATCAACGTCCAAATCCAAAACCTCTTGAGAAACTCCCATTTTCTTCTCCAAACGGTCGGACAAGCCGGCCAGATTGATGAAAAAAGGTAGTTCGCGTCTATCGGGGGTAGTGTAAGCCCGATGACACTGTGTGGCGAGGCATGCGCAAGCACAGAGGCCTCACCACTGGATCCAAAAATGAGATTAATCAATGTTGTGTTCCTTAGAACACTTTCAGAGATTAAACTGAAAAGAACAGATACTACACTTGATCTAAGCCAAAAGGCAAAGAGAGCTGGAGAAGAAAAGAAAAAAAGTCTAAAAGGATGGGGGGTCGCAAGGCTATATATACTTGGTGGAAGTGGTCCGTGCGGCACTAGCATGCTAGCCTCGTCTTTTGGCGAGCCAAGCGAGGTACAGTCAGCAGGGTCAGCTGATGCAACGAGCCCTATCCTCCGTTTCAAGCCCTGGTTATTTACTAAATTAGTTTAGTCACACGCACCGCCAACCGTATGCGATCAAAGTGAGACTCCACTGCTAGCGAAAAGTTTCATCTACACTCCTCTCTCAAGGCGCAGGATAATCACCTCTTTGCGACCACATACTCCCTCTTCATCCTCCAAAAAAAAACACCCCCCATCAGTCACAATGGCCCCCGTTGCTGTATGTTATCACTCTACAAACTGCTTTGCTGTTCCTCACTGAGGACCGGACATGGTGCGCTTCTCGTCTTCAATCGCGGATTTTCCACAAGTCGGCGGTTTTAAACCAGAAGATTCATCATGGACCTCCTCGGGAATCGACTTATGGAACAGTAGGCTAATGGCTTTGTTTTCTCGGTAATAGGCTCGTGGTCGCAAGGCCCAGAAGGTCACCAAGAAGGTAAGCAATGGTCGCATTCAAACTTCAACATCCTGATGGACGGGTTGCTAACATTGATTCCTCTAGTACATCATCAACGCTTCGCAGCCCGCGAGCGACAAGATCTTCGATGTCTCCGCCTTCGAGAAGTTCCTCCACGACCGCATCAAGGTCGAGGGCCGTGTCGGCAACCTCGGTGACAACGTTGTCATCTCCCAGGTTGGTGAGGGCAAGATCGAGGTCGTCACTCACATCCCCTTCTCTGGTCGCTACCTCAAGTACCTGTAAGTCCATTGTGCACAGCTTTGAGCTTGGAATCGCAGGGGTTTAACGTTGCGCAGGACCAAGAAGTACCTCAAAAAGCAGCAGCTCCGTGACTGGCTGCGTGTTGTCTCCACCTCCAAGGGTGTCTACGAGCTCCGCTTCTACAACGTCGTCAACGACGAGGGCGAGGAGGAGGAGGAGTAAATTATTCCTCAATAACGAATCAAAAAAAGTTCAATCTTTTGGATTCATGGACACTCGCATGAGGGGAGCAACTTCTTTCAGACGGGAATGTGCTATGGGTTGTTCGAGTGATAGACGTTGTCGACGAAGGAGTACGTTCCGGCTACTGGTCTTTGGGCTCCAGGATAGGGTTGACTCACAATACCTGAAAAGGTTGTGTGTCTCCTGTTTTATGTTGGGCTTGTCAGTTATGGGAGTTTTCCTTCTTCTACTCATGACGTTATGACTGGTAGATATGAATTGACTCGAACTATTGCCCGAAATGCTCTTTTATGCTTGAAGTCTGCGTAGATGCTCGGTATATGCTTAATTTCAGAATTTTTTTGGGTATCATCGATTTCAAGGCAGCACCTCCGTATCCTTTCTTTTGTGGCCGGCTCCAGGCCCAAGCTTCGAATCCTCTGCCGCGTCCTTTGCGCCAGGCGGAGGTATGAGCTTACTGTCCTCTATCCGCCATCCCTTGGACTTCAAGATCTTCCATGTTTCAGCAGCCTTGACCCTGACCAAGTCACCGGTCGCTATCGCGTCTTCTTTGGAATCATGACCTTGACTGCCTTTTGTTTGGATGTCTCGATCCAGATACTTCTTGACGAGAGCTTTGAGGCCCATGCGAATCGGCAGCCCTCGTGGGTGTGGATAGAGGAGCACCGTATCGATGATTGTTGGATGTATAATACGGCAAGCGTTGAGGTCGTTGTCGATTGCATGTCCAATCAAAGGTGTATCGGGCTGTAAGAATTTGAACAGGAGCGCACGTGCTGCTGCTGGCGATTCCACAACCTGCAAGGCGCCATCCTCAGTAGCGGAAGGGCTGGTAGTGCCATTATAGGGAACTGCCTTTTTGTAATGCTCGGGAAACACGCCTGAAAAGCGCGAGTTGAGGTCCAGAATTTCGCCCATGGGTCGAACGAGGACGTCCAAAATGAGCTTTCCTTGAGGCCAGCTGACGGCAGTTAGACGAATGAGCTCAAGTCCGAGAGTTGTGTATCCCATCTCGCAGTCGAAACAGACCGGCTGCTGGGGCCCTTTATCGGCCTGGCTTGGTGTCTCTTCGAACTGAAGGATAGACGCCAGGCGTTTAGATTCAAATACTTTGAACACATGCGTGTTTCCCTTGGTACAGCCAGACGAAGTTCCGATGGACTCGTTGCAGCAAGAAAAGTATGCTTCTCTAGCACCGGTGATGTGGTCTGTTTGTCTTCTCGGTGGGTAGTATGGCTTGCCAGGATGGTATGTGCATTGACCTCCAGTGGCCAATGAGCCATCTTCACGACGGCCAGGAAAGACTTGAAATCGTCCGCCACATCTATCGCACTTCTCCCAACCTTTTGACTCGCTGACTCCCCTCCGTGCATTCTCGACTTCTTCCTTTGTAGGCTTCCTGGTCACATAACCATACTGTTCGAGTCCTTCCAGGGGTGTGATCAGCTTGCTAGCAATGACGATTTCTTCCTTTGCACTGAGCCCAGTTTCCAGTGTCTTTTGCTGAGCGTTCTGCTGGGTCAGCTCAATCTTATAATATCGCTCATTCAGATGAGCTTTCACTTCCTTCTTCCATTCTTCTAAGCTCAGTTTCGGGAGCTTAACAATCCGAAGTTTGATGACGTTCGCATATATGCTCGGGTTATCTTTTGCCGCCTTCTCCTCTTCATCCAGCGCCATAGTCACAAGTTCATTGGGAGATAAGACTAATGGGTTATCCGTACTCCCTTCTTCCTTTGCCAATTTCTCATTGAGGGCACACATAGCGGCGTGGAGCTTTGTCAATATGGACAGCCGCACACCATGAGTCGCAGGCGCCTTTGGGAGCATGCGCGGGTTCAAACTCTCTCGGGGAGCCCGTCTAGGTGGTAAACGCGCTTCGCCTTCCATAGATGCTGGAGGAGCATGTTTCTTTGTCGAGGACTCTTTCCGCAACGTTGGAGGGGAGACTTCGCGGGTCATCGACTGAAGCTGACCAGCGCGTCGAGTTGTTTGTTCTGATTCGCTTCCCGTCACGGCCTTTGGAGCGGGGGCTGATTTTATGGATTCCCTTTTAGGCTCTGACAAGGATTGAGCTTTTCTCCCAGCAGTCTTTGGTGGAGTCTCCAGCCTAGGCTTCTTTGGAGGCGGACCTGAATCGTACGCTTCTTCTGGTGCTACAGGCGTATCTTGGACATTGCTCTCATCAACTAGGGAAGAGCTCACGGGATTGTGAGAAAATATGCAGGTTAGGAGCGAGCATTGTTGACCTTCCGGACAAGGAACATCCTTGAACAGCCCAAGAGGCGTAAACATGATGATACAGTATCGAGGAGAGTAGAGGTCACACTGATACAGGTGGCGATCAAGTTCAGATGCAGGCCTCGAGAAGTGAGACTATAGTCAGAGTAGACTGAGCTCGGTTGGATTGAACAAGTGAGTCCAAATCTATATCAAATTAAGAGTAATCCTGAGGACGCATCTTCCTTGCCGACTCTACCTGGGGATTGAGTCGGATGTTATGTCCGAGGAAGATTTTGAGGAGCACTCTTAACTGTTAGTGCATTAATCCTATTATGCACATGAAATCGAGAATATCAGCTTTCACGTATTCATATCCTCGCTCTCAAGAAACATCAAGCTCGTTAATGGCGATATGGAGGAGTGTGCCGTGTCCCAAATAATGTGAAGACAGCCACCACACCTGGCTGGAGTGGGATGCGACAGATATCAAAGAATCGGGGATCTATCAACTGATAAGAGCCCTAACTCGATATATCGCAGGATTATTCGCAGAGTTGGCTTAGACGAGCCATTTGAGCAGGTGTTCTGGTCTTCGGCACTCCGATTAGAGCGATGAGCAAGATGCAAACAGAACAATCATACCTAATTTATCAGCCACCGGTGGCGCTAACATCCCCTTATCTCCGGTCATCAGTGAGATCAGGCAGAAAGATGATAAGTTGCAAATGACCTGATATTTAAACAACTGGCCATGGCTAGTAATTCAAGCTATTTTTTCTGCTATTCTGTTCACAGAAGGGAACTTATGAAACTAATAATCTCATGAAATGTCGCAAAAGGTTGATCATCTTTGTGTCCTAGTCCATGGGTAAGTCTTGCTCTTACACCTGCCGCCACGAAGGCGTTCTTCGTTAGGCATTGGTAAACTGACTGTGGCGATGCATATTCTAGACTTTGGGGCAATCCATCCCATTTGGACTACCTGGCCGCGTCTCTCAGAGAGCGATACGGAAAAGACCGTCTCTGCATACTCGCCGCGAAGGGGAATTCTGGGAATTTCACCTACGATGGAATCGAGCTCGGAGGGGAGCGACTGGCGCATGAGATCGAAGACACTCTGGGTGCCTTGGCTGCGGAGGGGACCCATATCAAAAAACTGAGCGTTATCGGATATTCTCTAGGAGGTCTAGTCGCCAGATATGCGCTGGGTTTGCTACACGCGCGAGGATGGTTCGACAAGCTGGAGCCCGTCAATTTCACCACGTTTGTGTCGCCACATGTCGGTGTGAGAATGCCACTTAAGGGTATTCGAGACCATATTTTCAATGGCTTGGGCGCCCGGACACTGTCCATGTCCGGCAGGCAAATGTTCATGGTGGATGAGTTCCGAGATACGGGAAAGCCACTGCTTAGCATCCTCGCTGATCCGGATAGCATTTTCATTCAAGCCCTGGCAAAGTTCAGAAACCGTTCAGTATACTCGAATATCGTCAACGACCGTTCGACGGCTTTCTTCACCACCGCTCTTTCGACAACGAACCCATTCCAGGACCTTGAAAACGTGAACGTCAATTATGTGAAGGGCTATGAGCCAGTCGTTATTGACCCTGATGACTACTTTCTGCCTCCGAAAAAACAAGAGCCGCCGTCTTTCGTTTCTAGGCTATGGCAAAAGATCAAAGGCACGTTAACTCAAGTGGCAATCTCGCTGCTCGTCGTGGTGTTTGTCCCCATTGGCGTTGTACTATACCTCGTAAATGCTGCTGTACAGACGTACCGCAGTCACCAGCGTATTCGCCTCCATGAGGACGGAAAGGCAGGAGTACTTCTCTCCAACTACCGTGTGCCTGTTATTGTGAAGGACATGCAAAATGCAGTCGAAGATGCCTTCGAGAGCGCAACCGCGATGCAAGATCCGGCCTACCTACCAAACGCTCGTAACCGTACCGGAAAGGAAGAATCACTCCCGCAAACACCTGCTGTCAGCAAGACTGGCGCCATTGAAGATCAAACAGACACGCTAGAGGAGACTTCTTCCGCGTTGCCTGACCAAAAACGCGATGCCACACTGGCTCTAACGCCAGCTCAATTCTCTATCATCGAATCACTCAATTCCGTGGGATTCCGAAAGTACCCTGTATGGATCCATAATCACTCGCACAGCCATGCAGCCATCATTGTGCGAATGGCGAAAAAGGGATTCGAAGAGGGCAAAGTCGTGGTGAAGCATTGGCTCGACAACGAATTTGACATTGAGTGATACCCACACTGAAACGCGGGGATTGATCTGTGCGGTATTAAGTGGGCCAAAAGTGGGACACCCCATGGGATCATTGGAATATGCCATAACTCTGTCTCCGTCCCCCACGGCCATTCCCTGTAATCAACCATGAATCATCAAATTAAGGGGCAGTGAGGATTTCAGTTCCATTCTTGGCTCCCTGCATTTCTGGTGCAACCCACCATCCCCGTGGCGCCTAGTCTCACCTCCGCATCCCGGCTTCTTCCTGACATACGCAAATGAAACTGACATGCATATGGATGATACTAACTTTATGATTTCGGATTGCCGTTTGTGGTCTTTCCGTTAACCCCTGTCCGTTGTGGCTGCATGATTCCATTGATGGCGTTTTTTAGGTCCGCTTAGCTTCAGCCTTGTGTAGCCGCCCATGGCGTTGCTAAATTACATGGGTCGTGAAATTCTACATTTCGAGTCCTGTACTCGTCTGCTTGCGTGTGATTGTTCAGCAGTGATATTATAGAGTGGGACTGTGAGCCTGCACATATACGGATACATACTCATTTAATGGTAGATCTGAAGATATTACGATAAATCTGATCCATGCATTTATAAAGCTTTAGTCCTAAGTAGTCAAACTCGAACCAATGGGAATCTATAAGCGATGAAATGTCACCGAAAAGCAGAACAGTCTGAAACATAATAGCCGAGTCGCGTAGGGGAATCAAAATGTGGGATAGATAAGAATAAGATGAGGTATAGGTGTCGGATGTAAGATAGTGGGGTGATGATGACGGATTCAAGGGATATTTGAGGTATGAGGTATAGACCATGCAAATTTAAGGGGGGAAGGCGAAATAGAGGAGGCGAGTCAGAACACAGGACTAGTGCGTCGCGGCTGACTCGGAGTCAATGCCGGAATCCACATCAGCATCATCCTCGATAATGGCCGACTCATCGACCTGCTTCGACATCTCGCGGTTCATGGCGAACTTGACGGCCTCGAGCACATTAGCGCAGGTCTTCTTGGGCGGATACCGCGGGATGGTCCCTTCCTGGTACACGCCCGTCTTGACAAGGATGGAGAACCAGTTGCAGTCGCTGATGCGATCGAACTCGTTGGTGCCGCGGATGTCAGACTCGGGGGTGTCTCCGACGAAGTAGACGGTCGACGGTGGCTTGTCGATGCCGTGGGTATCCTTGCGCCATTGGCGGAGGAGGCGGGTGGCGAACTCGTACGTGCCGAGCTGGGGCTTGCCGAATGCGACGGTGGTCAGTTCCTTCCCGGTGACGGCCTTGTAGAGGGCCTCGAGCGAGGTTCTGAGAGCACCCATGCCGATGCGGACGTGCTCGTGGGAGGTGGACCAGACGACGTCGTTGTGGGAGAAGAAGATGGGGGGTCCCTCGTCGAATGTCTCCGAGCGTGTGCCTAGGTATCCGTTCTTCGACATGAGGACGTCGAGGATGATCTGCTGGTCTCCGGCCCAGTCCCGGCTGTCGGCGAAGACGAAGATGGCCTCGATGGGCGTCTTGCTGAAGTCGCGGACGCGTGAGTTGTTGTACTCTTCTTCAGTCAGTTTCCGGAATGGTGTCGTGTCCTGTCGTGTCTTGATGATGTCGCCTGGGGTGATGACGTCCTTGAAGCCGTACCCTTCGGCTACGATCCGGCACTTCTCACCCTCGCCGCCGACCACGAGGACTGTGTGGTATTTCTCAGCCATCTCCCGCATGGGAGTGTGTCCGCAGATGAATTGGCCGGGCGAGACCTCCAATTCGAGCTGCCGGCTGAGGTCCAGACACCGTTCCTCTTCGGTCTTGCCTCCACCATTCGTTACGAAGATGTAGGGACTAGATTATGGAGTTAGTAAACTATGTTGCTTTGAAAGCTTCTCGGGGAGAAAAACATACATCTTGACGCCAAACGGATTCTGCCCGTTGATATACTTCAAGGCATCGACAGCCTCGGGGATAGCTTGACCTCCTCTGATGAGGACACCATCGATGTCAAATGCCAGGGCGAATTCATCAGCTGTCGTGAGATTACGGGTAGACCTGGTGAGGGGCGAGGCGACACGAGGAGACTCTTCTTCCGAGGAGACTTCTTCATCCAGGTGCTGCTTTGCCATCGCCATCTCAATGGCCGTGTCATGGGCATCGCTGGAGGCCATCAGATGCTTCGGGGGCACGACGACATTAGGTCCGCCATACAGGTCGGCCCGAGTCGCATCGATGCTGGAAAGCCGGCGCACCCTCTGGGAGCCGGAGCCGTAGGTCGCGGCCATTTTTGGACGAGTCTTGAGGAGATTGGGGAAATGTGGTGGGGATCAGAGCGGGTGGCGATGATGGATTGGTGAAAGTAGGGAGACAACTACACTGCAGAACAGGGGGGCTGAGGGGTGTGGACGATGAGACTGATCACCAAGGCAATCTTCTCTTCAGGAATTGAATCTGGAGAGGAGTATATCAAAATAAATGGAGAGTGAAGGAAACTGATTCCGCTGTGCGGAGATGAGACTGGGGATAAGCGGAGCAGTATCCGTCTTGATACCAGTAGTAAAGATGTAGGAGAGAGAGTTGAAACCAAAGTGATAGTAGGTGTGGGGATGGGGAGAAGGTGATGGAGCAACGAGCTGAAGATGGACATCAATGCCCATTAATATACAAGTGTCGAGGACTCGAGGGAGGCAGAGTGGAGGACAGATGCTTTAGATCAGAACCCAGGCGGACACCGATGATGCAGTCCGTGGTTGCGTTATCCACCGTGGATGGACGGCTCAATCGATCTGGTGCAATCGCGGTGAAGCATGAGCATTGTTATTTGTTGTTGCAATGCAATGTCGCCCATACTCGAGGATGACGGTCTCCACTGGGCCCCAGAGTTTGCCTCCATTTCTGCGCCATCCGAAACGGCCGGGTCGAAGATGGTTTTACCACCGTCCTTCAGGATGCGTCTACCTTGGTTCAGATACGCCCATCACTATCCATCTGAAATGAGTCTGAGATCTGATTCATTTCAAATATACACGGACGATGGATTTGTCGCAGTCAGAGGGGAGATGTGAGTCGGCCTGCAGTAAAGTTACAAGTGGAGCCTCTCTGCTTCGACTACTGTAGGCAACGATTTCCATCCTTTTATTATTATGGATGAGCTTTACAGTGATTACCTCTATAGGATAGTGTATGTTTTCCTTGTCTCAACTATGCACACTATTCAGAGAAGAGACCTGTGAGATCAATACAAAGGCAACCTCTCTTCTCGTAAGCCAAGCACGATTACCGAAGTGGCTAAGAGACTTCTAACAAAGAAACACTTCTGATTGGCATCAGCCTCCATAACAAACACATCCCTGCCCATATTGATCCTACCTTACTCCATAATAACGATCCCTCCCTAGGCATAGGCTAATTACATTGGTCCTTTACCTCACTCCTTCCTCCCGCGGTGACACTGCATTCCGTTCCGTCTTATACTGTGGTTGCCGATGATGTCGCGCCGAGTCCGCAGAGAGGTACCCCTCCATTGGCAGCGTTCCCCCTAGATAACAAGGATCACGCTAGATTAAGTTCAAGGTAAAACTGACTGAGTGAGAGATTTAATTATTCCTCGTCTGCAGTCAGCACAGCTAATCATCGTCGTCGTCGTCCGAGCACATTTCAGTATTCTGAGATCGACCCATGCGATGACGTCATGGCAGCGGGGTCGCTCGCCTCCGAAGTATCACACATATCTAAGGTATCCTGAGGTATCTGTACCTGGGATAGTGAGGCGAGGTACGAACCTTACTTTACACTACTCTCTCAATAGGTACAGGCAAGAATGTATCTGATTTCGTTCATCCTATTGACACTCAGATATTTTGCTCTAGACAAAGAGAGCATCTTCAAATAAACAACGGCCGTCTTATGATGGTTACCTTACCGTGTAAAGCAGTACGGCTGGTAATTCAGGTACAAGTAGAGAGTACCTAGGTGGTAGATATACATTCCTTCTCTCAGCCACAGTTCCCCCTTTGCATGTGATGGCGCCTCTGACTTGGACGAGCCACCTGTTGCGCCCTTTGTTTTGGATAGGGGCATTGGATATTCTACATACTCAGCACCCCGGTGGGTAGGATATCGTTGCATCAGTTGACATCGCTTGTCAATGTTTGTGATCTGAGGATATTCATTTGAGATCCAGCTCACGATTCCGGATTAATGCTTTTCAATCTATCATTTACTACTTTGTTACACTGGGAGAGTGAGGAGAGAAAATGTTTCATCAAGAACGTGCAAGTCCCTGGAACATGATTTGGTGCCTCTCTCAGAACGGAACCAGCCGCCCAGCCCTATTTCATTTCGGACACATGAAGATGATGATAGAGAAGAAGCAGTAAATGAGCAAACATGTGTGATGTGATGATATGTTACAGGGTATTATCAGCACATATACTGAAAGTTCAGACCTCTTATGGGAAATGCATGTAGTAAGTGGATACAACCATAACGCCTTTGATGTTGGTAGGGAAAAAGGAAAGAGCATCTAGTCCACGCGCAGAATTAGGTCAGAGCCTCGCCGTGCCGGTGTCAAGTTGCGGCCCCAGGACACTGGTTTCCTCCGCGGCGTAGCAGGTGCCATGCCCTCCACTGGAAAGCTGGGGTCAACTGGGAGTCTCTTGGACTTGTGGTCAGAGTACTGGGTTTGAGTATCGCGGGTCTCTAGCCAGCCATCCTCGGGAGAATATGGGGCTCTCGGGCCCTGGGGTTGCGGCTTTCCCTTGCGAATCTGCACTCGTTTAATGTCATCGCCTCGTACAATCCGAGGTCGGGAGACGATCTCCTGCACAGGAGGAGCTGTTCCGGAAAAGGGTATTCTGGGATTCGGCACAGTAGCACCGTTACCAAAGTAGCCGCCACCATCGTTCTTGCCAGCGTTAACTGACGGTGTGACTACCTCCCTTACTGGAGTGAGTGGCTTGAAGTCGCCCGAACGTCGAGACTTTCGACGGAGCTCCGAGCGGTCCTTGAGGCTGATGGTCTCG